GTGACGGGAGTGAAACGCGAGTGAGTGGGCGTGAAACCGTATAAGTTGTTGTTGTTTGTTATTAAGCACAACGCTACGCAATGGGCTATCTGTGCTCTGCCCACCACGGGTATCATAACCCGGTTTCTAGCGGTATAAGTCCACAGACATACCACTGTGCCACTGGGGGGCAACTTTATAAGTGTCGTGAGTGTTGGTATTGTTACGTCTCTGGTCGTTAGTTAACTTCCCGTATAATTCCTTTCTGATGAAACTTTAGCGACACAAGTCCTTTCTTAGATAAAACTGGTTTATTTTTTCTAAATACAACTTTGCAATACAATTAATTTTCACAGTCACGCTATAACAAACGCTATAATTCACAACGAACATCTCACGTGCTCGACTCAACAATACGTCTCTTTCTGTCCGCAGTTCAATTACCCATTGTTGTCGTCAGTTCTTGGCAGCTTATATACAAGACTACCGCATATCTAGTAAAAGCTCGAGAGTTCACGAATCTTCGAGAATATGACGTGTTACTAGCGTCACGTGACCCCGCTGTCGTAACAGTATAATAAGACTAAAGTAAAGACGTAATGTGGAATCACCTAGCCTAGAGCCAAGTGCATAAAATTTATCGTGAATGTAAAAATACGATTCAGTTTTAAACTTAAATCGTGTCTGAATTAAGCTATTTTCTGTTATATCAGCAACATTTTTAATAAGAAAATAAAAACAACTATTAAACAAATGGAGGCTCTAAGTTAAAAAATCAACAAATATTTTTCCAGTTTTATTGTCTATACATTTCATTTTATACTTTCATTACATAGACTAACAAAAATATTAGATTACATTTTTGTTCCTAAGCAACACAACATAAAAGTCATTGGTGGAACATAGTGTTACCAAATCACACTAGCTTTTTATATATTAGAAGTTGTTAATTTAGCTGATATTTACCAATAATTATTCTATGAATACGCCACGAACTCGTTTTATGAATGATCTTAATTTTGATTACCTCGACTGCACCTTTCTGCCTCATTGTTGGTCAAGCTTGATTTCACCAAATTTATTTATTTCGGTTAGCAATGAAATGTGAGGGGTGGGGGTGGTAGTAGGTACCCCGTCATTTTTGACGGACTATACGCTAGTCATTATATATAAATCAGATGTTTCCCTATGATCATACAGTTCTACTTGGTTTATAAAGTGAATTGGTTGACAGAAACTAGTCACATGGTTAGCATTAATAATTATATGTAAATTAGATGTTTCCTGTTAAGCAAGGAACATTGGATTAACAGTTATATTTGGTTTATAAAATAAGTTGTTTGTCATGAAAACATCTCGAAAGAGGAAAACCACAACTGATTCACAAGCAATAGTCTCGTGTCTTATGAAAGTACTTACACTTGGGTTTTATTAGTTAGACATAAATCAAACTTGACTTCGCTTTACACAACATATCCAGTCTGTTTGTCTATTTCCTTAGCTTAAAACCCAGTCAGTTTAACTAAATTTAGATTTACTTAGTAATTATTCTGATCGATGATCATCGATCTTTCCGTTATAAAGCGGACCCACCTAGTATTCTTAACAAAAGTGGTTAATCTGAGAATACCAGATGGGTTTTAACTGACTATTCTGAGGAATATCTTTGAGCCGGACAACACCGCATAATAATTTGATTTGAAATGTTTTAGTTTTGTAAGAATTACAAGCAGACTTCTTTTACTTTTATGTTTACCTCAGGGAAATTTATATTCCTTAATGTTTTCAGTGAAATTTTGTGGTGTTCATGATTTAATTTTTCATTTTTAGAGTAGCATTAGCATTTACTAAGCTTTTAGAATTTGAAATTAAGCCTCAGACGTTAATCAATCCAGATCATAATTGTAATTTAGGTACACTATATTTTAATTAGTCTTTAGATGTGATTAAAATACTTTCTTCTTTTTCTGTATTTAGAGAAAGGGTTACCATACTGTTGCGTCATCGAGGTCACGTGACTGGTGTGGCGCCCTCTAGTTTCTAGAACTATCTTGTTTCTTCATGAATGCTCTAGTATTTACTAGATGGGGTAGGCGGGTATCTATAAGAGGTGAAGGATATTGTAATGTGTGTATAGAGAGTGAGTAATTGAACTGCAGTCAGAAGTATTATTGACGTTCATTGTTATAGCGTTTGTTTAGCGCGATTGTTGAAGTTGAGTGTATCGGTAAAGTTATATTCGGAAAGAATAAACCAGTTTTATTAAGTAAAGACTTGTGTCGTTAAAATTTGGTCGGAACGAAGTTACGGAAAATCAATTAACAAACGGAAACGTAACAACTTGGTGTCAGAGAGTGGGATAGAAAAAAAAGAGAAGAAAAATGGAAACGAGAGGCGGAAAATCAAACTACAGCTTAGCAGATTTGATAGCAGCAGTACAAAAACAAGAAGAACGAGAAAATAAACAAGAAGAACGAGAAGCGAAATTACAATAGTTGTTAGAGGAAAAAGAAAAGAAACAAGAAGAGAAATTACAACAGTTGTTAGAGGAAAAATAAAAGAAACAAGAAGAGAAATTACAACAGTTGTTAGAGGAAAAAGAAAAGAAACAAGAAGAGAAATTACAACAGTTGTTAGAGGGAAAAGAAAAGAAACAAGAAGAACGAGAAAATAAACAAGAAGAACGAGAAAAGAAACAAGAAGAACGAGAAGCGAAATTACAACAGTTGTGGAGGAAAAAGAAAAGAAACAAGAAGAGAGACAACAGCAGTTGCAAGAAAACCTACAACAATGGCAGCTCGAACAGCAAAATAAACAAGAGAAATTACAGCAGTTGTTGGAGGAAAAGAAACAA